AAAATCGCGATTCTAGCTTGTAGGCCCTCTAGAAGACTCAATATTTATCCAATTTTAAAAAATGTTTAAATCTATCACCGTTACACCATAGTGACGGGTGAATTCAAATTTCGTAAAATCGGATCAAAACTGCCTGACGAAATGGCGGCCCCTTGTACGCAAATACTGTAAAAGTATGTCATACCAAGATTGTGGACCCTCTAGAAGCCACAATTGTTATCAGATTGTTATCAGATTTTGATGAAACATAAAAAAATATGTTAATATGTACAAAAGATCTCGGTTCCTGCCGCTATTTCCGACCGTAACTTTCTGGATTATGGCTCCTGATGAAAACTCGTTTTTTTTTAGCTTCTGAACCCTCGAGAAGTCACAATTGTTATCAGATTTTGATGAAACTTAAAACATATGTTTATGTACCAAAGATCTCAGTTCCTTCCGCTATTTGCGCATATCAGACTGTAACTTCCTGGATTATGGCCCCTGATTGTACGGAAAATAATCGTGGTTTTTCGCTACTGGATTTTCTAGAGGTCACAATTTTTTTTATCCGATTTTAAAAACCTTTTAAATATATCGCAATTACATCATACTGAAGGTTGAATTCGAATTTCGGGAAAATTGAAACGAAGTTGTCGGACAAAATGCCCGCTCTTTGTACGCAAATTGTGTATAATTATGTAATACGAAAGTTGTGGACCCTCTAGAGGTCACAATTTTTATACGATTTTGATGAAACTTATGTCCCAAAGATCTCAGTCCCTTTCCATATTTGCGCACTTCAGACCATAACTTTCTGGAGTATGGCCTCTGATTGTACGAAAGCTCACTTTTGTATATAGCTTGTTCTATATCCATCACTTGCAAAATGTGGGCGTATCTTGCCTGGCAACCGCTTAATTAGTCATTTGTATAAGTTAATCCTTGTCGCGACTGGACCCGTCAGAATCCATGACGAATATTCTTCAAAAGCTGAAACACGGAAAACGACATGCTTAAAGGCTACTAAGTTCCAAAAGGGTCATTCCATAAAAGTGGACCAAATTCTGAGAAAGTTGTAAAGCGACCCCTTCAGAAAATTATGAAAAAAATATATGTAATAGTACATACAGTCTTATGAAAAACTGCAAAGTTACATTATTGTAGCATTAATATTGACATAAATTAATGCATTTGGAAATTGAGCAAATTAACAGTTTTTAAAATAAAATTTGTAAAGGGTATATTACAGATACGCATACACTTAATTGACCCACAGGTATTATACATAGGCCCCCTTAGAATCACATTTCCCATACACAGGCATAGGAAAAACTGTAGTCTATTTTCCGTTTGCCAAAATACAACAGATTCCTCCGAAAATATGCTTCCCTCGATTTTTTGTTTAAATGTGCGCAAGATTGTTGAATCTAGATTTATTTTTTTCAGTAGGCTATATACCTCGGTCATTGTTTGTGGTTATAGCTTTTATTTACTTTTACAAAAAATATACACGGTAAAAAGGACATGTGTAGACTTGAAGGGTTTAGATAATTATATAAAATCCAGACCATTAAAAATCAAATCGAACTCTTAAAGTATGAAAATACACACGAATAAACTAGAGAGCAAGCGATATCCAATGGACTTTCAAGTGCAACTACTTCCTGTCCTGCGTACGCGAAAGTACTCAATAATTGGATGTCAAGTTGAACAGAAAATCATTTAATTTAAATATTTCAGCGAGTACAGATAACGACACACATATACAAAGAATATAAAGAACCAATTTGTTAACAGATTCATATCTCGCCGACATACATTAAAGAGTTGGGTTGGCTTAGAAGTCTATATTTTTACTAAAAGTAAGCTCTTTGTTACAGAACAATTCTTCCCAGATTCGTATCTCGTCAGCACCTGTCAACTATTTCTTTCGCGCACGGTCAAATCTTTACCGCGCGAACGTTGTTAGGGCCTATCGGTGAGTATACTCGATTCATAATATAAGGTCAGATAACTAAAAAGAAATTACACACACGCACATAATCACTTTTTACCGGGGGGAGGGGTAGTAACACATAAAAATACGTTATGAATTTGAACGGATAAAAAGTAACCACCACGGTGGAAGTAAGCATGTTAATGACATCATCTGGTCTGACCATGCGCATCTCGCTTGTTTTCTAAGACTACTTCATGCATCATATAGTGGCGATACAATTAATCCCATCGGTAAAGGGGGGGTGGGGGTGGATGGCCGAATGGTTAGCACGCGCGCGCTGTATCATACAGTCTGTCATTGAGTCAACTGGCGGGGTTTCGATTCCCCGGTTGTTCGTGACAAGGAGTAGGGTCGCCTGTCCAACCTCGTGAGTTTTCATCCGGGTCCTCCGGTTTCCTCCCACTGCTAAAGACCCCTACGCGCAATCGAATTATTGAAATAAAAATGAAACCATATGTTAGTCCCGAAATGACCTAGTTTGTGTCGAGTGGACGTTAAATCCCATTTCTCTCTCTCTCTCCATCGGTAAAGCTTAGAATATTTGCGCCATTATTGGCCCTTACCTCTCTTTGGAATAGCATACAATTGCAGTCTGTTCCTCGTCATATTCACTTTATGAACTAGGAAAAATTACAACTTAAATATACATTATGCAAGAGCTATATCTGCCTACTGCAGGTCTTTCGTTAGGCCTGAAATGTTATGTAAACTATTAATTACACATTTATTAACATGGCATCGAATACTCGAGATTTTAACTAGATTAGAACGGTTCGCCATTTAAAAATTTAATTTAAAAATGGGAAAGCGAGGCTTAGTCGCGAATATACCAATGCCGTGGTTACAACAATGCACACATCTTGTGCACACAGTGATAACTTGGCCCAGAATGAAGTAATTTGAAAAATAATTTGAGCTATTATAGCAAGAATTATATTTTCCTTATCTAAGTCTTAGATAATGTATCTTTCAGCCCTGAAAAACTGTTGATTCATTCTTTAATAACCACTATATTATGGAAGATCAAATTTGAACAGTTTGAAGGTTTTATATACGAAGCAATATTTTAAACTAATGATTGTTGTTTCTGCATTCTTATATCAACATTTATAAACATGCGTACATAAAACGACAAATTAAAGATAAAGAGTGCCTGTAATGTCCAAAAGAATGAGAAGCTAACAGGGTTACGCCGTTGCGGTGATGTAAAAATGCAGAAAAGCAAAATAGTATATAGACAGGAACGTATCCAGAGAACCTTTGCTGCACCGAGCCTCCAGATGTATACCTTTATATTATGTTATGTCATTGGTGGTGCGTCACAGACCTGGAACTATTGAAAATCCAATTCGTGAGGCAACATATAATAATACATAGTTCTGTGTTTTCTAGGAATATTAGCGAGAGTGAGAGGAATCTTCAACCGGAATAACACAACTGTGAAGCATGAGGTAGAAGAAGCAGGGCCCGGGGCAAGCAACTCGGTGAGGGGATTTGGGGTCTCTCCACTCGGGCTCGAAAATTTTGACGTATATCTGGGGTAATTGGAGCTCACTGAGTACGATTTAGTTTTACTGATGTAATAATAATCAGATGAACTAGATTTTGACAGGACATTTTAAGCAAGACAAACTTAAAAACAAAAACCGTGACCATCAGACGCCAAAATATCAAAAAGAAAATTTTTTCATAACATAAACTTCGTTAATTTTGTTCCATACCCCAAATGATGTTGAACTGAATTCAAACGGATGGGGGTACGGATAATCTGACGGTGACGAGAGCCTCAAGTGAAGCGAGGATGGACCGGGTTACACGGCGCGAAGGCCCGGGCATGTGGCGTACAGTTTTTAATACATCTATTTTTCCAAAAAAGGTTGACTGACAGAATCTGATTCTAATCCTACCCACGCGAATAGGTATCCACATTCAGAAAAATCACAGGTTTTCATCTACTTTACGATCAAGTAATAATGTATTTTTTATATATATATATATATATATTTATACAATTTTTTTAAACACATTACTCGGCATACACATGAGCCCGCTAGACTCTGGGCACCTGGACAAGTGTCCCAGCTGTAGAAGAATGCAACCCGTGGATCCTTAATTTGTGGTTATACGTCATTATTTATTTTGATTTTACGTCTCTAAGTTAAGATTTAACGTTATGCTCCGATATTGCCTTATAGCATCTAGAAATAAAGACCCGTTTTAATAACTTAATACTTTCCATATTAAATGGTCAAAAATGCGGAAGGAAAATAATGGAGTTTTACACTATGTGCGAAGTCCTAATACAATTGATGAGAATTTCCCTTCGAAAGAAAAATGAAAAGTAGTAAATGGTCAAAAATGCGGAAGGAAAATATTGGAGTTTTACACTATGTGCGAAGTCCTAATACAATTGATGAGAATTTCCCTTCGAAAGAAAAATGAAGTCTATTTCTGTTGACTATGTAAACCTTGTTCGATCTATTATGCACAAGCTTTTGTTAACCGTTAATTTGCGTTTGTCAATAGTTTATTCAACCAGGATGTTCTATATAGGCAATTTCCCGTGTCATATTTACGTTAGTCGTTTTACTAAATATAAAGATATGTGGGTAGTGTAAATGATCCTTTATCGTCTCTTTTTCTAAATATATAGATTTGTGGGTGGTAGAATTAATGATCCTTTATTAAGATCTGTTTTTAATAGTACCTACAACCAGGATGTTGCGTATAGATAATTACCCATGTATTAGTGGCGTTAATCTGTTATTAATTGTGGGTCGAAAAAAAATCTATTGTTGAGACTTTAGCCACTATATATTACTTCTGTTTTTCAAGTCCTCCTACAACCAGTATATTGTATATAGGTAATTTCCCGTGTTATATTTCCGATATCATTTGGATTGTAGTCAGTTTATATTGTTAAGATTTCTTTTTCAATAGTTCAAACAGTTAGTATACTGTATATAAATAATTTGCCATGTAAGAGTGACATAGTCTGTTACTAAATATACATATTTGTGGGCAGTATAAATTACCCTCCGTTGGTATCACCAGAACTAAAAGGTTACAGTTAAGTTAATATAGGTACAACATGTATACATATCGGTATTAGATGGTTACCTGTAGAAGTTTTATCATATAAGTAAAGCATGTCTACATTACTGTTATTCTTGTTATTTGTGTCATTAGTTTTAATGAACACTGTGATACTTGGTCAAGACTCGGCAGTGGAAAAGATAGGTGAGTTAATTTTTAGTCCCAATGATCCTGGTGCAATTATAGGACAATTTTTGTCGTTCGGATAGGAAGATCCCATGTACACATTGGCATGTACGTAAAATGCCCCTTGGCAGTTGGAATTCGATATAAGAGCTGGTTGCAGTGCCGTTGTCCGGGCAAAATTTATCTCATACCATGATGATATGTCATATGTCCGTCTTCATTAGCCCAGTCGGAGCAAAACAGCAGGACGTTAAACCCCATTTCATTTTTGTATTTATAGGTGAGCAACTGGTTTCGGCCAAATCCATTCGTCTAGAACTTATTACCCTTGTCAGATTTTGAAATTTACCCAAGACTTTTTGTCCAGTTAAATCTTGTATTTTCACCATTTCAGCCAGGATGCCAAGAATCAGACAGAAAAGGAGAGGGTGGTCAACAGGCACATCCTTTATTGGAAAAGCTTGGTGCAAATTTTACATTTACACAGCGAAGAAGTATCCCACATATTGTTTCACACATATATGGGGGGGATGGAGATGAATTTTCTCCGTTTGTGTTTCTTTTTCAAGACTCACCACACCATTGCCACAGCGTAGATATTTAACATTTTGCCAAATAATAGCCTGTGTATCTTGAAGAAAGATGTTCATTGGAAATTGATGATGTAGAAGAGACGACCCTTTAACTTTGCAAGTGAACATTTGTTTATTGTGTATCGTATTAGTAAAACGAGGAGAAATAGATATGAAAGACATGTGTCTAAAGGGTGTATAACTCTATTCTTTTGAACCTTAAAATAGGTATAAAATCGCATATTGATGTAATATGAATGTATATAAAATATATGTATAAAGTTCTGTATGTTAATAATTTTCAACTGTGTACATGTATTTACATATATACATCATAATAAACAGCTTAAAACGTAAAGAGACAATGAAATGGAGTTTGACGCTCTACTGTTGTGCTCCGACTGTGCTAATGAAGATGGTCATACGCTATGAGAGGAATTTTGCCCGGACATCGGCGCTAATTCCTATTATCAGTTTAAATAAATTTATATTCAGTTTTGTGTAATCACTATTATGGTTTGAGGAAAAAAATATTAAATAATCAACTGGAATCTACCCCCCCCCCCTCACGCCCGGGATTTAATTTCATTGTGAACACTACCAGACGTTGTTCGTGTGTATAGTGAAGGGGGCGTGGGCACAACCCCACCCAACAAATTGATCATTTGGAGGCTTGACAATATGAGGGGCTCGCTCCAGCAAGATGCGTTTGATATTTTGACTTTTATTTAGAATTATACATGGAGCTGGCTCAAGATTCTATGGGAATGGGGAGTTGGGTTTATATAGGCTACAAATTTGTTGGCCAAACCTTCCGGATATACGCCGCAAATTATTCAGCTGCTTTTCGTAATTGACAGGAAAGTTTTCTGTATTTGGGTGCAAGGACATGATGAAACGGAAGCTGGCCATGTCAGTCCATAATTCCACTCGCTTATCTTCTACAGTTAAAAATAATATAAGAGTTATGTCCCTTCTATATGACTACTGAACGAGCATGAACGCCCAAGTCTATCCTGAACACTATAACGCAACCTAGACCGGAGGCTCAGCGCGCGGGGGGGGGGGGGGGTGTCCATCAAATAGATACAAAACCAGAGTAAACTTTTCTAGAGTAAAATTTTGCGTAGAATACGATGCCGAGTCGTTATCAGTCCGCCGTTGGGGCGTTTTCGAGATATTCGGGGTCAAGGGTCAAATGAGTTCATTTGCACTGAAAGTGAATGCGCAGCCATTCTTGTATTATGAAAAGAAGCTGAAAGTGATCGAAAGTAATCACACTTTCAATAAAAATGTAAGCTTGCTAAATTTACCTCTCTTAGTGACCTTAGAGGTCAAAAGGTGAAATTTACCTTTTAAAGCAATAAAATGTCAACGTAAAATATAAAAAAGTAAAGTAAAACCTGTTCTAATTAATAATAGGAACATTTAAAATTTATCTTTAGGTGGTCTTAGCACCGAACTTTTACTTTGGAACGTCGAAAATGATCTTGCATAACAGAACCAACACACTTTGAAACCTGTTTTAAAAATACGTAAAAACTGTCAAATCGAAATCTCTCCGATTTATTTTCACAACGATTGTTATTCATAATGATACTAGTTATCTGAAAAACAACTGAATAGTTTCAGTGTTGGACTCCAGCCTGCAGGCCGCGTGGATTTCCGAGAATCCCAGTCTAGGAAAACCGACGTTAATCTGTGACGGGAAAACACGTATCTGACGACGAGATTAAAAGTTTGCAAATTTTCTATGAATTTTTATGAATTTCGCCGGAACATGGGTTCACAGGATATATATGTCGTATTGGTAAATGGTAGCGGGGAAAATTTTGGCAGGTTTTGTGACGCGGCCTGCAGGCTGGAGTCCAGCCATGGAACTATTCAATTGTTTTTTTCAGACAACTAGTATCATTTATAGCATTCGTTGTAAAACTAATTCGGAGAGATTTTGGTTTAACAGTTTTTACGTATTTTTGAAACGGGCTCCGAAGCGTTCTGGTTCTGTTATGCAAGATCATTTTCGACGTTCCAAAGTAAAAGTTCGGTGCTAAGACCATCTATAGATAAATTTTAAATGTTCCTATTATTAATTAGAACAGGTTTCGCTTTAGTTTTTATATTTTACGCTGACATTTATTACTGTAAATCTTCCTAGCGCTAAAACGGAAAATGTGACCTTTTGACCTCTAGGGTCACAGAGAACAAAGGTGAATTTAGCAAGTTTACATTTTTATTGAAAGTGTGATTACTTTCGATCATAATCAGCTTATTTTCATGATACAAGAATGACCGCGCATTCACTTTCAGTGCAAATGAACCCATTTGACCTTTGACCCCGAATATCTCGAAAACGCCCCAACGGCGGACTGATTACCACTCGGCATCGTATTCTACGCAAAATTTTACTCTAGAAAAGTTGGGTCTGGTTTTGTGCCCATTTGATGGACACCCCCCCCCCCCCCCGGGCTGGGCCTCCAGACTAACCACATTTTAAAGCCTCGGTGATTGTTAAATGGAAAAGGAACTTTATATAAAATAGTAAAGAGCGGGTTTCCACTTCAACTTGACATAAAGTTGGTAAAGAACGTGTTTCAGTTAAATGACTGTAACATTAATGAATTAGTAAAGAACGTGTTTAGTTAAATGACTGCAACTTCACATAAAGTTGATAAAGAACGTGTTTCAGTAATGACGGCAATTTTAGAAAAAAATTGGTAAAGAATGTGATTCAGTAAAATGACCGGAACTTTACATAAAATAGTAAAGAACGTGTTTCAGTTAAATGACTGTAACTTTACATAAAGAGAGAGGGTTTAACGTCCACTCAACACAATTATATTTCAATAATTCGTTTACGCGTATGGGTCTTTTAGCAATGGGAGGAAACCGGAGTACTCGGAGAAAACCCTTAAGGTTGGACAGGCCACCCTACTCCTTGCCACGTACAGTTGGCGCAATGACAGACCTTATGATACAGCGCGCATGTGCTAACCATTTGGCCATCCCCCCGTCACATAAAGTAGTAATAATCGGGTCACCGCCAATGACCGAAAAGTTCACTTTGGCAATGGTTAAAACAGCCTGCATGCAATCGGATTAAAAAGCTATCCATCAAATAATTATAGGCAGGACTAGCTTGTTTTATCATCTGCAGGGCCAGCTCATCTAAATATTAAGGCCATCTGCAGATTTCGTCAAGGTCACGAGATGTAAACCTAGCGCTAACCTTAACTCGAGACATCATAAACCTCGACAGCAATCACATGTCCTATCCCTGTCTACATCTCGTGGCCTCGACGAAATCTGCAGGTGGTCTCAATATTTAGATCTGATCTCATCTGCAGTGGTTGCCGACATCTTTATAAATACTGAACGGAATGGAGATTCAACATTCACAATATTGTAGTTTACAAGGAAATTTAAAACCCTAAAATGACGATCAGTGACCTTTAAGGACTTCTTCAGAAATTGAAATAAACCATCATATATATATATAATAATCTAACCATTTATGTAGATTTCTGTAACATATTTCCTTTTTCTTTTCATTATTCTTTTTATAGAACAGGTATATCGCAGTAAAAAAAACAGTACATGGACGCGATGTGGACTTTGAAATATTGGATACAGCAGTTCAGGTAAGAGAAATGCACCTTATTATGAATTCACATTAAAAATTGCACAATCAGAACAAGGAACCTTAAGAGTAAAACTTTCGTGATCAAAAATCCATGACAATGTATATAAGCAAAACACAACACTTGCAATCTTTGGGCGTAATGCAATTAACACATTTTGTACGGCGAGAATTAGAATCTATGCCTATATTAAACATACATTATGCAAGAGCTACATCTGCCAATTTCAGGTCATTCTTTAGACCTTAAATGTTATCTAAATTATTAATTAGACATTAATTAACTTATCCAGACCATAATTAACTCTCGATGTCATCGTTAGCCTGTGATATTAACTGGATTAGGATCCGATTTACTGCTCAACTTTCATTCATGATTTAATCATGAAATGGATAATCGAGACTATGTTTTTTTTATCGTACCGACTTTGGTCATGATAATCGAGGCTAGGCCGAAAATTCATTCGCTAAATTCTCGGTTCATAGTGGATCAAATAGACTGAAATTTTCAGCAAATTCCCTACACATTATCTAGTTTTTAACTATTATAGCGAGAACTGCTAGCACTTTATCTAATCTCCCATAATGTATCTTAGTATTTGATGTCTTATTTTCTGCCCGTCTCCATTAGACCAGTTCGGAGCAGAACAGTAGAATGTTAAACGCCATTTCATTTCATTTCATTTAAGTGACCTTTTTATGTGAACACCAACGGGAACTAGATATGCACTCGGGGGCCACGTGAGTAAAACGCTGGTTCACTTACCTGGAGGTCGCGGGTTCATTCCCGATGTTGACCGAGAAAGTTCATCGGGATTTTCCGGAGGTGTTTCCCCTTCCTTGTCAGTGATGCAGAACAGAGTGCCTGACAAGGGAAGTTGTCTAGTCGTTCGGATGGGACGAAAAACTGAAGACACCATACATCGTCTCCGTTAGCCCAGTCGGAACAGAACAGTAGGACGTTAAAGCCCATATCATTTCTCTACTGCAGTCTGGGATCCCGAAAACCTTTCTCCTTGTTCGAGAGCAAGCAAATTATTCGCTGAGTCGTATGTATGAATTCCACAATTAAGCAATGGATCGGATGACAGTTTATTATATTGGAATGCACGTAAAGTATCCCCTGGTAGTTGGAATTCGATATAAGAGTAGGCGATAGTGTCGCTGACCGGGCACAATTTCCCTCCTAGCACACTGTATGCCCGTCTTCATTAGCCCAGTATAGGAGCAGAACAGTAGGACGTTAAACCCCATTTCATTTCACTTATAAATGTTATCTAAATTATTAATTAGACATTAATTAACTTATCCAGACCATAATCAACTCTCGATGGCATCGCTAGTCTGCTATCTTTAGTGGATTATGATCCAATTTACTGCATAACTTTCCTTCACGATTAAATGGATAATCGAAACTATGATTTTTGTCGTACCGACTTTACTAATGATAATCGAGCCTAGGTGGAAATTTCAATCGCTTAATTCTCAGTTCAGAGTGGATCAATTTGACTGAAATTTTCAGCAAATTGCCTTTACATTATCTAGTTTTTAACTATTATAGTGAGAACTTCCAACTCCTTATCTAATCTTATATAATGTATCTTTAACCATTAATTGTTGTATAACAGTTCGGCAGCAGGTACAGACTTGACCTTCATAAAACATGACCTAAAACATTCATGTGGTTATGCTGGTTAAATTGATACCACATATGCAGGGGTGGATCGCAGTGACGAAGCGTGAATGGCTAACACACATCTTTGATTTTGTTCATATTATGATGTTGAACACGGTTTACAACTTCGTCATTATTACTTATATATTAAAACATAGATATGACGTCACCCTTTGATGTTTT